ATTGGTGGAGTTGAGAAAGAGGTACAAATTCACGCTTATCTTGACTTACCACCGAATTTATGTATTGCGCTCACAATTTATCCTCTTATTTAAGTCATATGTATACTTGTCAACGCATCGTTACTACCAGTAACATGAGATGAAAGCATTGAAAATCACCCATGTTGCCTAAATGGCCAATCCAGTACTTTAATTCGACTATCTTACCAACAACAGTGAGAGGTTTCCGGTATGGGATGATACACGTGGAGTAGAAGAGGGGAGGAGCTAATGTGAATGTACGTGTGAACCAATCCTGAAGCTTTCGCAGAGCAGAGCCCGTGGAATTCGCGACTTGATTATACATACTTGTCTCTCCAAAGCCAATAGAAGGAACCAGGTAGGCCCTGAAGGAATGAGAAGACACTTTAGATATCCAAAAAAGCGTTCACGAACTGCTTTAGTAGTCTGTCGGTAGGCCAACTTACCCTGTTCTTAGAGCCATGCGGAAGAAGCCTCGACGCCTACTAAACATGAGAACGTATTGACCCGGTCGAGATTCCAGAGCTTCGATTGCTCCCCCTACGGAGACTGCAACCAGGTTACCTGTCTTTCCTGTCAGTTCCCTGTCCAACAAGTAGGTCAGACTCTCTTGATTAACGGAGACACCGCCTAGTTGCAGGTAAAGAACCTCCCATGAATAAGTGCTTCTTGCATACTCAAAATAACTTTTGATTATTTATAGTGCAGAAAAAGATTGTATTGGATGCAAAAATTTAAAGGACAGCTGTAAATCCCGATGAATCCAGCTGATGACCGTGCAAAAGGAACGAGAAATTCCTAAACTTACTGCAATCGAGAGCTTGAGTAGGAAGTAGCGAAAATAAATTACATGATTGCTTACTACTCAAAATCGGTGGGTAACCATAGCAAAGAAACTCAAAAGCACGTGTGCAATAAATGATGCAAGACTCAGTATCGCCAATGCAACTTTAGACATCGGACCAATACATTTGGCGAAATATCCGGCATCCCCACTGTCATCCAGATTTATTGAAAGGATAGGAAAGGCAGTTAAAATGAGCCGCACAAGCATCAATACCCGATTCATCATTCTCGTTAAGCAAACCCCCTGCCATTTCTTCATAAAGGCTATAATCGACAAGGACATTTGTAATCCACGAAACAGAAATCCATCGTTACTCTCAAAACTAGTTATCATTTAGTCCAGAGACCAGGTCTGTTCTATGCAAACAAGCAGAAGACCTGTTATCACAAGCCTTCGCAATATTATAATTATAATTATAATTACCATTCGTTGTCACCTTAAACACTTCGAAGATACTACTTCTCTCTCGAAAGCCAAGAAACGCTTGTCACAGTTGTTTGCGTTACTGATAAAGCTTCCTATAGGTGAACTAAGGCTCGGATATGCCAATTGTTTTTTAAATAGGTGAAAAAACTAATGCTTCAGGAAGTAGTAATACTATAGCGCTTAGCCTGGAAACATTGTATTATCACGCCTCTATCATCCGCATTTTTCGAACACCGCACCGCAAACCCAAGCTACATTCTTCCTCATGCTTGGATGTTTTCATTCAGCAATTTTTAGCTGTAAAATGAATTTATAGGGTGGGGAGGGCGTCTCTAGAAAATTCCAACGAAACTTTTCCACGTGTATCCACTGTATTAGTGGACAGTAAACCCAGATGTTGATATCCTAAGGACTAGTTAGCATCTCTTGACGAATAGTACACCGCATTCCTTCCAACCAACACCTCCAAATCTTCTCTTCCATTTCTAGTTGATCGACATCCACCACAATGTAAGTCTACATAACCGGACAGAATGGATGTCACGAATTGATAATAATTTGGGTAAAAGGCATCAAGGGAAGGCTTTGATGGGCTTGAATAACAGTTCAGCCTGGACTTTCTTGACTATGGCTGATTAAAATGTTGACGGCATTTAAACGGAATGAAGAGGAAGAATAAATATTGGTCCTTGCCAAAATGGATATGCTTTGGTGATTATTAAAGAAATCGCTCTACTCATTGCTCACCTGAGCCATTTGAATGGTAGGAAAAGCAGTCGCGTGGATCCGGCCAGCTACCGCTGACTTAGATGCATTTGTGCTCTGCCACCATATACCTCTACAACCTGTCTAAATTGCAGTTTCATTAGCTCCCTCTGCAAGAAGGAGCAGCTCTTGGTTTTACATGAGTCAATGTTACCATTTCAGGTACGCTAGCTCCTGGACCATGACATTTGCTCCATGGCCTCCCAAACGTCAGCATCGTAGACTGGCATCTCGACTTCAGGAAACACTCGCTTAACCAATGGCTATTCAGTTCCAAATTGAGGCAAAATGCACTCTGCACATGCTTGGCAATTCATTTATTCTGACCCCATTTCTGATTCCGGTTCAAAGGTCAGTGCATCGATGGCAGCCTGGCCGCCTCGGCCAAGACCAAGTGTTTATCCAAATAGGCTTAAGTTTATTTTGAATACTAAGACGTGCTGAATCATCTTATATTAATGAGATAACGTGAGTACTTAGGAATGGTGTTAAGGCACAGGTTCACTACCTAACGGCTCCCTGTGCCAAATTAGGAAGCATCTAGGACGCATCACAAATACAAGCTACTAGCTTGTATTCTCTGAAGCAATACAACATTAGCAGCATGTCTGAACATTTAGTTTTTGCGCAAACCTATTCGACGACCTTTGAACTGGAATTTCAAACGTTAAAAAAAATTAGAGTAAGATCGGTTTGTAAATGCTGGTTGGCTGCAAATACATGCCAGTTGATTGCTGTATTTTCCACATCGAAAGATACGCTGTATTCTCTACTTAAATTAAACATGCAAATTAGCATGATCTCACAATTTCAGCTCAGAAAGCCGACACTTAGATCTAGACGACATATTATTTAAACAGGTCACGTGAAGAGGGCGCATATTTAATGCAATGAAGAGGAATTCAAAACATTTTAACAAATTACCCTTTTAGAATTTTGGAGTTATCTCGATTTTGTGATCGCACGGGATGGTTGGTTAATGGTTGATAATTTAGCTTACCTGCAAGCAAAGCGAATTCTCGGAAGAATGGGACTTTATAGTGCACGTTCAAAGTGGCCATGTGAGGTTTAATATCTGGAAAGAACTTGGAGAAATTCAAAGCGTCAAAACCACATGTCATGAGCATGCCTGCTGCCAAGGGTCCATGAGGATGGTATCCCAGGAGATAATTAACGGAGGTAGGAAGACGTACAACTGTGTCTTTTTCATTCACAGTTTGACCCTGTTCGCTCGCCCACTTCTGCAGCTCCCTCGATGCCACTAAACGAGCCGGAAAGTACTGTGCCATCCACTTCCATAGTGCAAGTTCCTTTATCCACATTATACGGCGTCCCCCTCGGTAGGGCGTTTCAATATCCCAGATCCAGTAAATGGTGTAAAGCAGAATGCTCAAGAAGCAGTAACGGCTCTGCGCGTCATCGATTGCATTGCCAAACGTCATCCGGAAGAGTGGGTAGATAAATTGTCTTGTGTAGTAAACGAGACAGAGTATCGGAAGAATGGTGACTGAGCAGCCAAACATGAAGACGAAAACTTGGGCACGAAATCGGTAAAAAACGGAATGATCATACCATCTCATCTCCTTAGCCATGTTGCAATAACTAATGCGGATTTTAAAGATTCTGAAAAGTTTTAATCTTCAGCGAGTTATATTGAATCCTAGTGTCACTGGTCAACGGTCATATGGCTATCCTGAACTAGTGGCAGCGTAATTCGACCAACCATGAGCCTTCAAAGATTCATATTAAATGCCAGTGCTTGTCGCTGACCGATGTCAACGAAACACACTGCCACTATTAAAACTGATTTTATAATCACATGACTGCTCCCTTGGAGGTTCGATCAGTTAACGACAATACCTCTATTTGGTGCTTGTTTTCTTGATGTTCATAAACAAAGGCGCATAACTGATTTCACCTGAGCATAGTGCCGTTCCTAATCCTTCGCACAAATCACAATTCATCTTCCGAGATCGACAATAGCCAATCCCATCATCCTAAGAGGCAAATTCCCCAAATATTCAGTGGTACGAAGTTGTATGATCGCCTCAATACGATCAGTTGGGAATCGTTTTATATAATAGTTGTAAAAACAATGGCTACTTCTGTCTGGAAGGCTTACAGACAACATCAGATCACTCCAACTGATAGAGTCATTGTAAGTAAACATTCTCTTTGGACCTATTGCTGAAAACCGAAATTGTAGCGAAATTATTTAGAATTATAAGTATAGAAGGTAGCTAGCTAGTTACGGCAGTAACAAAGCACTGCTTAATCACTCCACGATACAACAGTTGCGACCGAAGATTGGAACTAGTTGGCAATGTAGTCGGGAGAGGTGTACACTTATGGCAGGGCGAAGCAGACACGTAACGTTCAATCACCTACGCTTCGTCGCAACTGATTTGATGAAAAGAAATTAAAAATAAAAGTAAAGGGTGTGCGAAAAAATTCCCAAACAAACTAACTCAATAGCGTTATTTTAAATGATATGAGCATCCAATTCTGATTGTCGTATCGAGAAGATATCCGAATAGGAAATGACTCATGTGGTTATTAAATTGTCTTCTTAACTGTTTTCTTAACAGTCTTGTTGAATATATACGCAGTTCGTATCCATGCTTTGCAGCACCACTAAATATTAGTTGCTGGCCGACCACATTTGTAAAATAGAATGGTCCGATGGCGCCTTTTATTTATGTTCAACACGATGCGTTGACACTGGATGCACTTGTTTCTCAGCGATCGTTTGTGGATTTTCCAAATCTTAAATACGACAATCCTGTCCCTTAGTTGAATCGTTGATGCGCGAGTCTCACCACCGAGGATAAATGCGGTGCTTAAGATAGGTAAGGTTGGTTTTAACAAACCCTATTCGCTGTGAGTGAACGGCGTGCTTGGGTCTATGAGCCAGTTTACTTTTTAGTTGTATGACGTTGAATTTAGCGTCCCGAAGCTTCTCCCAGGCAGAAGAAAGCATCCCGTTTGGCTGAATACATGTACCCTAAGAGAAGAGCTTTGGCATGGCTTGACGGTCAGCTTTAGCCTACAAGGACAATACGAATATTAAAATGACCGCCAGTCATCAGATGGTGACACAAACAAAGCACTTCAACGAAAAACCTTCATTGAAAATGCAGTGTGGAAGGATTCTTGTAAATTCAAATTCTTAGCCAACATATCGAAAAATATGTTCCTGGACTGCCAGTAACAACCGTGAAGTGTTTTTTACTTTTTGTAAAGGCTGGCTGGTTGAATGATTGCCAATGGTGAAGTAGGCTAGATATTCCAGGTTTTATGAAATGTATGTTCAACTTAAGGCTGATGACAATGGACCCCCATTCGTTCCTTCAACCCATTGTTTTTCGTGTGGCGTTCAATTTTAAGTGACGTTAAAACGATAGTTTCAATAGAACCACTTTACCCTAAAAATGACATCACAATTTAGTATTATGTGAACTTTAGAACGCTCTCTCATACTGGGAAAGTAAATATCTCTCTAAGGTAGGAAAATGGCTTAAATGCAATGTCAGTGATTTCTCTACCTCGAAATGATATGGTAACAAATTCATGCTTTTGAATTAAGCACGACAGCTCGTTCTCCCCATCCAACTTTCTCCCACTTTCAAAACTGCTTCACCACCAAGCTTGACTGCACACATCTAACATTTTTCATTACACCAGTACCTACACAATCCTACTAAAGAAGCTTAAAATGCTTTAAACGTAGTGTAGTTTTGGGTATAAAGGCAGAGACTGACGTGATTGTCCTTATTCCATCTACACCGCCTACGTCATTCACAGTAAGACCTCAGAGATTAGAGTGCTCAATGTGAATAGTGCTATTTTGAAAAATTGAGTAATAGGGACATTTGTCACCATCACCATGACAAATAACTATTAATTATTGGGCTATCTGCCGATGCGCCATGTATGAAGTACAATGCGGGAACTGAAAACTACGGTTCGTTTG